GTGCACACGCGATAACCGCCGACACGTATATATTTAGAATGCAATTAATTTTGCGCATGTCACCTGCAGCACGGCGACGAAAGGAAGTCCGGGAACCTAGTTGAATGAGCAGCCACTGAACTTTGCCGTGCAAATAATAATAATAATAATAATGACGAAGGAGACAAACGACTGGGGCGTCCCCAGCTTTTTACTTGTAGAAATAACATGCTCGGGGAGAAAGCGCCCCTTCTCGCCTCTGTGGGCATCGCAAAGGTCATGAAATTAAGGAGCATGACGCCTATGCAGCTGGCCCCTGTTCGCCGGGGCGAGTGTTCCAATATTAAATCTAAAGAACACTTTCTTCAAAACATTTTCATAATTTTAATATTTCTAAAAACAAAAATATTTGAATTTCAATTCGATCTTCAATCTGCTTCTGGATTACGTTTTTTTTTTTAATAATTTTTTCCACTTTCAAACAAAACATTGTTATGAAATTAAAATTAAAATTTGGAAAAATTACATGTTTTTTTGGATTAATAGCAAAAATGCATTCTCGAGGCCTTTCAATGAAACTGATCTTTCATTATTTTATTTCATAAAATCGATTATTTTTAAATTGCGTTTATTTATAAGATTGTAACAATTGAAGTGGAGCTTTTGGATCAAAATAACCCGCGATACAAAAACGATCCATATCTTGAGAAGAAAGAAAAATGCAACCTGCTGGACGCTGCTGTTGATCAGGTTGCATATGTTTTAAATATGAATTGATTCGTGGAGCTCTTAGGGCTGCTTTTTGATAACCGGGGAAAATTTCCTGTTCGTGTGTTGCAGCTCAAAATCATAATTAAATTTTATTGAAAATGAATTAAGTGTTTTCAAAATCTATTCTGTCAATGAAACTGCACAAATAAACCAGAAAATCTCATTTCATTTAATTCTTTTTTCTTGCAAAAGGATAGTTTGATTTTATTCACCTCTCTCACAATTGACCTTATTCAGCTGAAAATCGATGCTTAAAACACCACGACGTGAAAATTCCTTTTGTCAATTTGCTATAAATGCCACTGACATCAGTGGGGGGTTCGGAGTTTTGATTGCATTATTATTACATATGAATACCCTTTGGCAAGCAGGGGGTGTAGATGTAGACGGCGAGCCCGCTGTCATAATAATGGCACACACACAAAGTTGCTTCGCACACATAGCAATCAATAATGTCTAAAAATTAGAACTTGAATAAAAAATAAAAATTATATTTATTAAATTAATTATATAATAAATTTTTAATAACCAAAAAAATCTCTAAAATCTTACTTGTAAAATTAACTTTTTTGCGCTATTTTTACACAGGAGTCCGTTATCTTCGCTGCGTGTTTTACTTTGGTTGATTTTCAGAGGATTTTTGGAAAACTTTGTTTGCTTGAGGGGGCGTCCCTGTTTTAATGTGACGAGAGGGAGAGACTTCGACGAAGGAAGGTTGTTTCGGGCATGAATCACTTTGGCCATTTATTCGTGTGTGTGCTTTGTGCCAGCCGCTCGATATTCACCACCGCTTTTATTCACCCCCTGCCCTGCCAGCACCCCCGCCCGCCCACCCACTCTTTTCACCTGCATTATACAAAACCTTTTCCTTCCTCTGCACGCCGCCTCCGCGCTTTTTGGACTCGGTGGCGCACACGCGGCCGACGAAATATCGATTCGACTGCAAAGTGAAAGAGCCAAAGTGCCCCTGGCCCGATCGAGCCGCGCTGAAAAGGGGCGCCACGCCTTTTTGGGACTCGCCAATTCTAACACCGAATTTGGCAGGTTAGCGCGGGGAGTAAAACAGGCAGCTTTTCCAGAGTTGAAATTTCTCTGCAGCCAAAATGTTAATAAGTTAAATTTAAACTGGTCCCTAACAGATTATGTCAGAAAGAAGTTCATTCTCTCTCCAAATTCAAAATATTTTGGTTTTAAAATATGTCGAACAAATAATTTTGAACTATGCTAATTTTATAACCATTGATTTAAATAGTTCAAATGTGAAATCAATTAATTAGCATTGTAGATTCTAAAAATTCTCAGGTATCAAAATTTTTCCTTTAGCTTGATCTGCTGTAGCATCACATTTCACTCAAGTTTGGATTTTGTTAGCATTTCATTCAGGAAATTTTGTTGTAAAACTTGTGAAAAGCGTCTCAATGAAAAATTTGTTATTAAACAAATCAAACTCCATTAAGTAAAAGCAAAAACTTTCAAGTTTGTTTTTCTTAATTTTAATAGATATAAAAATTTACAAATTGTTTTATTTTAAATGATAAAATGGAGCTAGAGAATTTACTGAAGCATTTTTCTGATTGAAAAAATTTATTTAATTTTGAAATTTGTGCTTTTTCTATTTTCTAATAAAGTTTTAAGGTCACATAGTGACTCCTACTTTAGTTCAAATCACCACAAATTTATGAATAATTAGAATATAAATAAAATTGCCTGCATTTTCTAATTATAAATTATCCTTGATTGTCCAGATTTGGTTGACCTTTCGACTCCAAGTTGTTACGCCGTCCAATTTTCCATTGTAATAAAATTCATCATCTGTTCCAGAGAGGAGGAAAGGCAAGTAGGAAACAGCCGGTGAGTGTATAATTTGCTTTATTGCACGTGAAAATATGGCCGGGGATCTTTCTGGCCGTTCGTTCGTTCGCCCCACATCCGATAAAAAGGGGAACAGTGACTTTTATATATTCTAATAGGGGTGGAAGAAAGAGAGAGAGAGAGAGAGACAGGTATGAGGTCACCCCTCGGCAGCGCCAGCGCTAGTTGGTTGGGGTCGCCACCGGCACCAGTTAATTTCCAGCGGCTCTGCAATGCGCCAAACCCTTGGAGCGCGGCCCAAGACCAAGAAGTCGCTCGCGGCCGTCGCGGAAAAAATTATTCTCGGTCGTTCCGCTCTGAGGACCATATCACCACCGACCGAACTCTCGCTGCGGAGAAGGTAATTTTAATAATTTCTAGCGGAATGTCCGTCGCCGGCAACTTTTTATATATTTATGGCCGCAAAGCCCGTTCTCCGCGCACTGCCAGGTTTTAAAGTTTTGTTAATTGCTCTTTGCAAAAATATGCTGAAGTTCCTCCCAACCGTGGTAAAAATTCGGCAGGTATTTTAATTCATTTGGTGAAAATATTTCTACAATAATGAAAAATATATGTTTAAAAATTCGTCAAAATTGAAGCCCCTGCATAATTTGCTAAAATTGAGAAGAAGTACTGGTCGTAGAAGTTTTCAACAAAATACATTTTCTCCAAAAATTTTAAACTAGTTTCAATTTAACTTAATTTTAAACTTCATCTATGAGGGCGATCCTGCAATCCGAATTGAAAACCCGGGCCAGTATCGCCCCTTAAAATACATTTCAAATCAAAAGGATTTTTACTTTTTAACATTTTCATAGAATAATTTGAATTCAAAATATTTTTTTTTCATTTGTAAAAAGAACAGTCACCATTTCATAAAGAATTCAAAGCTCACTCGCCGGTATCTCTCGATCGGCTGCCGCAATAATATACTACACCGATAAACTAGTACATTATCTTTGAAATAAAAAATAGGGTGCCGCGCGTTGGCCGCGAGAGGGTTGCACGCAATCCGAATCAACACACTTTTGCCTGCTCCCAAATTCACCTTCCAAAATTATTTCTTATCGACCCGTCGTTGCAATATATTTTTTTAGTGTTTCCTTTGACAAAAAAAATGTGGGTTTAATTGCCTGGCGATTATTATATTATATTAAAAGGGCACGCATCGGCGATTTCAAGATCGTGTTTCACCTGCTGGCGCCGCGTGCGCATGGTGTCGGATTCGCCGCATGTGTTTCTGGATTATAAGTAATATTGTGTCTCTCTCTTCCATTTTGCTTTGCAAAATCGCTGAAATTGCAGGTGCGGCGCCTATAGTGGAGAAGATAGAAGAGTTGTCGCTCCCTTAGCCTTGGCACTGGAAGAATTCACAGATTGACTTTTAAGTCGTGGGTTCTCTTTTGCCAAATTTAATGGGGTTTGATTGTTCAACCGAGAAAGTTTTCAAGAAGAGATGAACTGTGCAGCCTAAGGACTTACAAGATTAAAATTACGTGCATTTTTCAAGAGTTATGCAGTTTTGATTAGGATGGAAGGATTGGAAAATTCAGTTATTAAAAAAACAAAATATTTACATACGATCCAAAACTATTGTATCTTATATTCCACAAAAAATTAAAAATTTCTGAGTTTAACTGTTTCAGTTTAAGTTCCTTTTTAATAATTAATAACGTAAGTGGTGAAATGTTCCTAAAAAAATGTCGTTCAAAGAGTAATGTTTCATTCAAAGACTATACGCACCGACATTTGTTTTATTTCCTTTTTTAACACTAAATCCCCTCCCCTAGAACATTTAATTTGATTTTTTTAATTTTAATTTTATAAGACATAAATATTATTAGTTGTATGTATGCCAAAATAATTTGAATTCATGTATTAAGACCATTCAAATACATTTACCCTTTATTGTCACAAAATGTTCAAAATTTAATTTAATTTTAAATGTTTTAACCATAATATTTAAAAATGCTAAATTGTGGAGTTAATTTTAATTGTGGTCACCATCTACAATTATTTTTCAGTATCTCACACTAGAGTTAATGTTCTCTTTGTCCTTATGGATAAATTTGATGTATTATTTACCATATAAAAAATATGTTTGGTTTAAAGAGGGTGTACTTTTGAATTATTATTCGCTATTTTTATTTGATGGCACAAATATTTTCTTCCTATATATCTATCATTATTATCTAAAAAAGTTTGTATATTCAAATCAATTAATAAATTTACTTGTATTACAAAAACGATTGTAAAATTGTTAATTTTATTTAAAATCCTTCTCCATTTACAGCATAGTCTGATGGAGTACGGTTGAAAGAGAAATATTTATGCAGAGATGTTTTTAAATTAATTTGCCATTGGAATGATTTATGTTGAATATGTCTTTTTAGTGAAATAAAAACAGTACTTTATAGTTTAAAATAGTTCCACTTTATTTACAAAAGCCCCAAATATATATGTTGTTTTTATACAGTAACAATGCAATAAATTGGGGTTGCAAATTAAAACCAACTGATTGATTAATATGCGTGAGACAATCCTTAATAAAGTAATGATACGCAAATATATAACATTAACAACTTGTGTTATTGCTGAAGAGGAATTACCTTACAAGAAAATTTTATCCTAAAAGCAAGTGTAAAAGAATGCTGAAACGGCCAATTGCTTGATTACAAGATTGCTAAAACTTAAATTTTAAAATCAGGTGCAACATGATTTATTGGAAAAACTGAAGCTGCTTTTGCAGAGACTAGAGAAGGTAATTTAACTGCTTTCAAAACAGTACTTCCTCGAGACATGTAATATTATATATAACAAGTTTGTGTGGCTTTCGCGCAAGCTCATTAGGCAAAAATATACATTCATTTGTCAATAATTGTAGAAGTGGAATATTATGTTTATTATCTCATTTCTTATGCAAAAACATTAACAGGGACACGATGGATATATTATTCAAATTTCAATCTCAGATAGGTTTGTGCGAAAAAGAGACGGTCAACTTCAAGTGGTTTTATGGCACACGATTGCTTTTGACTTTCGATCAAACATGATGTGTCAATTACAAGGGCAAGAGTGGTGACTATCTTATGGAATCATAGCCTTGCACAAATATTTAATTATAAAGTTTCAATTGCTCAACCAATTCACTAAAAATTGATCAAATATCCAAACGTTCATTACTTCCGGACATTTTCACTTAAAAAAATGGTGAATGAGCGTATTTTTAATAATAACTGCTTTGGAATCTAAAATTTGCCTTCAGATTAAAAAGGCAGAAATGCACCAGAAACACAAAAAGGCATTATTTGTGAGTTTCTACAAAATAACTATAACAATTGATTATTGCAAATAAATCTGGAATTTTCTTAAGCATAATGATGGAAGCTTACGATTGCTATCGATTTCAAAATATACTCAAGACTTTTCCTCCGATTGAGCTTCACTCCTCTTACTCCGCTTCCTCGAAAAACTGTAACGCTTTCCGCAATTCTAAAGTGGCCTGAAAATATAAATGTTTAATTTCTTTTCCCAACAAAGAAGAAGTGATATTACATTTTGGTACAGATTGATTTGTTCATTTAAGAAACCCTTCATAGCAGTCTTGAAGTCTTCCTCCCTTTGAGTGTGGAATTGACTTATTTCAGCCAAGAGCGCATAAGACATGACATCGGAACGGCGTTTCATTTCAGGCAGTGCTTTTTGTTCCACTTTCTCCATTTCTTTGTGCTTGTTCACAGCATCCTGAAATCGCAAGAGCAAAATGTAAATGGATGTTTACAAAGTAAAAATAAAGAAAAAAATCCACAAGAAAATAAATCTTAAAAATTATGTATGGGTTTAAATTCATAAAATTCAGTTCATTTATTTTACCAACCTTGTGCACCTGCAGTATGTCTGGAAACGAGGCAAGTATCCCTTTGTAGATGTGCATCTGGTCGGCAAGAGGTTCCCAGTCCAGCTTGGGTTGATCCTCGAACATTTTGCCTATGTTGTTGTAAGCATCTCCTGTTCTCTTTATCGCAGTGGTGAGATTCACTTGGAATTTTCATATTTTTATTGATTTTATTTCCAATAAATTTAGCTCAACTACCTGAAGAGTTGTCCAAGTCGAACGAAGCACCCAGCTGTTGGAATGTCTGGCCGATCTTTTGGTACTCCCGTTTGTACTGCGCCTGGCACTTTTTCGTCTGATCCAAAGCAGTGGCCATGACATTTTTCACAGAATTGTCCATGCTGGTCACAAATCTCTGGGCGTTTTCCGTGTGCCTCTCTCTGTTAAACCGTAATTGAATTGAATAAAAATTGCTTTCAACTACTTACAATTTGTTGGTAAAATTTTTAAATAAAGAGAAAAAAAAGAAGAAAAAAAATGGTTCTTACAGGTCAAATGGGTCGATAATTTTCTCTGGAACCTCGAGGCAGGCAAAATAGTTTGCTCCGACCAAGGCGTCCTTTTCTGCTCTACGTTTTCCCATTTTCCACATTTTCTCGTCAGTGCACTCAATGAAGTGCTTCCAAACGGCGCTCTGAGATAAAACTGGGTGTCGGCACACGTTGTCAACAAAAAGTTGCAGCTGGACACGCCTGTGCTCAATAAATTGCTCTTCATACCTTCCTAAAATTGTTAATTCAATTTTAAATTTCATTTCCAGCAGAAATTTTATATAAAAAATAAAAATAACCTGAGATTTGTTTATCCGGCAAAGGTGGAATCGGTATTAGACAGAACTTTTCCTCCAGTCGTTCGTGCAGCCAGTCAAAGTGTTTATATCTACGAGATACTTGAATTCCATTGTACTAGAAATAAATATAATTTGGAGTAAAATGTATTTTTCTTTTCATTAGGAGCTCACTGTAGGTGTCAACTTGTATGCTATGTAACTTTTTAAGCCTCTCATTTTAGATTCTTTTTTCGGAGATGCAACCTCGACCTTGAATTTTTGATGCTGATCGTTCCACATGATCAGGGTCCCAGTGTCCTATAAAAAATTAATAAAATCTTTCAATAGAATGAAATGAGCAATCCTCATGAAAGATCAATAAACAATTTTTTTATTTTCTCTAGCTCAAATTTGTGTAACTAATATTGATGATATGCTAACCATTATGTAGACTTTGTCTGCTTCCGAGACATGCACTTTGGCTGTTCCAAGAATATAGCTCTCCCCACCAGATTTGACAAAAGCCGAGAATCGGTTGAAATTCTTCTTTGCTGTTGGCGCCTTTTCTCCCACTGAAAAATTAGATAATACAATTTGAATTTGAAAATTAGCTTACAAAAAGGCCAAAATTGTGAAGGAATTGTTTTTTTTTTCAATAAAAATGTACTTTGATCTTATCATCAATGAGATAAAGAAGTTTTGATCAAAAGAAAAAAATAGCAACAACCACATCCTAATTATGATTAATGTGGCTTGTAAATTTTTTGCCTTTTAGTGGTTTTTGAGGTTAAAAAGTAAATTACATCCAACTACGAAGTACCACATTAATTAAGTACCATTCATTCTTGGGCAATAAATATATAATAAAATAAAAATGAGCTAGACTGACTATTCGTACTAATGACACTGTGTGTGTCGTAGCCTCTGTGGAGGTCCAGAGCCGGTTGCCTGAATTCCACCGGCGCCGTTGCGGCATTTGTGGGCGGCTGTTGTCCAGTTTCAGAGTCGTCGTCCCAATCATCATCCCAGAAATCGTCCTGTTGGTTTTGCTGAGTATTGTTTGTGTTGTTCTCAGAGGACCACGGTTCTTCACCCGGCGGCTCCTCGTAATACGCACTTGGCAGCTGTGGGGCCGGAATGCTTGGAGGGCCAGCCTCAATTTTCTAGGAAAAAGACAAAACAATTAGTTATCAAAAATTCAAGAAAATATGGTAGTGCAGAAAAGTTATTTTTGCGCATATTTTTAAATCTTACTTCAACATAGTTCTCTGGAAAAAGACCGACTTGTCCTTTGGAGTTTTCGCCTTCGTACCAGCCGGCGCCAACGTCCCTGATGAAAGTGAGAATTTCGCCAGCCTTGATTGACAATTCAACCGAGCCAATTTCGCCCGAAAAATCGTAAAGCGCTTTTAGCTAGAAAATAATAAAATTTATCAGAAAAAAATCGGCGATTCGTAAATTTTATGGTTAATATCAATAGTTGGGTGACAAGAGATAGAGTGACGCAAACTTTATACCACATATATGTATGTATAAAGAGCGGTTTGTTAATCCCAAAGGATAGGTGGAACCCGCTCAAAATTCAACACCCGCCCTTCGACGAGCTGCTAATTAGACAGTACAGCTGCGACAAACGAGCCTAATGAGTGATGTCAGTCTCGTTTGTTGCACAGGCGATATTTTTAGCGAGATTTCGACAAAAAAAAATACTCACTTTCGTCGTCATGATTCACACTTGTAGGAGGCAAACTGCTGATTCTGACTCTTGCTGATGCGTTTCTCGTTGCTGACAAGTGAAGTGGGCGTGGCTGTAAATCGGTAGAATAACTTCAAAATTATCGGTGCTACCGGTTTTACGCTATTTTTTTTTCATTTTATTGTATTAGGTTCAATTCGATATATATATTAAAAATCATGATTGTTATGAAAAATTTTTTGTCATTGATGTAAATGTTTTGTAAGAAACTTGGTAAAATCCTAGCAAGGCTGAAATATTTATGATAAATTACTTTAATCGGTTTTTTCTCTTAATATAAAACCGGTTATTTTTATTCAAATTTTGGAATAACTTTTAAAAACATAGTGCTGAATTACTAAACAAGCTGAAATCCGTATTCAACTGGCGTAGAAATCATTGTAAATCACATTTTTTTTTTTTTTAGATAATTCTGCTTCTACAATAACTTTCAATTGACGCGATTAAAGACTTTTTTAATTCACTGAATTATAAGTCCATAAAATATACGAGCGCAATTGGCCGCCATGACAGCATAATTAACTGTTGAACTTATCAACATGGCCGACAAGTATTCGTATCCTTTAATTTACTTATTTTCCTCTCCACAGCTGGGCAGGGCAAAACAAAAATCCGGCGTCAGAGATTGGAGAGGCAAAAGAAAGTTATAAAAAGCGGTATGTGTTTTACATGATAATTTATTGTTCATCTTCGTAAATAGCATTGCATAATGCATGTAAAGAATAATTCACTCTGCTTTAGATTTTCTCATTTTTGAATAATTTGGCGCACTGTGGTAATTTCACATGTGTCACATTATGATAAATATTCTATATTCTCTCCTGTAAAAAAGTTCAAGGCAGGCAGGATACTGTCAATTTATCAAATTTATGTATGAGCACCACTAGCAGTCAGGCAGTGACAGTGAAATTTTATAACGGGCGGCTGGGGAGCTTGGTGAATTCGTTGTCCTCCTGATTTTGCAACTTCGCTTCTTTTCACAAATTTTTGAGGTTTCAAACTTTTTTCTCATACCACATTTTTCTCTCAGGATTTTTATACCATGGCATCTTATGGATCGGAGGAAACAGAGCAACTTCGAGAAAGACTGCAATCCCAGTGTGACCGCTTATGCCAGCAGCTTAATGAGTTGGAAGAGTATAAGTATGTAAATCTCTTAATATATAAAAATTGTCCAATGAACCGTAAAAATTTATTAAATTAGGGATGACCTGTCGCCAGAGGAATATAACGAGAGCAAAAAAGAAACTGCAGAGCAACTGCAGGAGTTGAGTGAAACCATGGAGAAATTGGTGGCCGGAAACATGACTCTGGTCGACAGCTTTGGAGCGATTCAGTTGGTAGGAAGTAACTTGCGATTTGTTTTATAATTGTAGTGCATTTTATTTTCATCATTCTAAACAGTCAATCAAAGAGGCAATCTCTCGAGCCTGTCCTTCGTCAGCTTTGAAAGAGCCGAAACAAAACAAATGTGATTTGCGATCTAGATTATCCGCTGTAGAAAAGGACCTGAAAAATGGTAGGATTACCCAGAACGAAAGTCTACTCTTAAAGGTACTAATTTTCTTTCTTCAATAAGTACCTAACTACATAAAATTTCTCGTCATAGGAAGAGATTTTGAAAGCGATAATCCAGTCAGGAGAAAAGGTGACGTCGGAAGAGGAAAAGTTCCTTGGGCAACTGAGTGCCAAAAACTCCAGTTTTGTTCAAGTGACAGATAATTTAGGTATCATAAGATTAATTTGATGGTTAACAAAATTATGAATTATTTGTTTATTTTTTAGGACTCTCAGAGCAGGCAATTAAATCAGCGTCTTCAAATATCTGTTCCTATAAAAAATAACACAAAACAAAGAGAACCTTAAAAATCAGAATATCATCTTACTTATAAGCTTAATTCATCAGTTTGTGCCATTAAAACCATTTGCATTTTCAAATTGTGATTATTCTTCAGATAACTTGATTATATTTTTTCCTCGTATCCAACGGTTTTCTCGATTTGTATATAAGTATCAAATATTTATTTGTTTGTAAAATAAAGGATAAATTCATAGTATAATTCACACCTGGAAGGTCAAAGGATGATGTGCTTCTTGACACTGCTAAATGACTTATATTGTTACTTACAAATTAAACAGTCATGTGTATTTTGCATAATTAATAATAAAAGATCATATTAATTTGAAATTAAACAGGCAATATTAAATTTCATTACTTTTTTTTTAGAAAACACTTTTTGATTATGTCAATAATTAATTAAATAAATAAATAATCAAATTACGAAGCTCAACCAACGAATGAATGGAAAAAGAACTAGAAATATGCGATCTATTTCTACAATTTCCATTATCATTTTAAAACATAATTGTTTCTGTTGGTTTTGTTAGGTGTAAAATAAGTTTTGCGCAAAGGTTTGATGTACACATAACGCAGTTACAATAAGCTATTCTATTTAAGCGCAAAATTTTACAAGCCTAAAGTATAGTGTGCAATTTTTTTTTTCTTTTATTTTTAACATTTTTGGCCTACGTCGATCCCAATCAAAGAAATAGTGGCAGCTGCCATTTGATTGTTAAATCTCCATTATTAGATAGCCTGTTAGAATTCGTATCTGCCACACATTATAACGTTGGCCAAATTGAGAAGAGGAGAGAAAAATAATTCAGGGCCTCTAATGTGCGGCCGGAGTTTTGCCTTGCCATAATAAAAGCTCCATTGGCCGCGGCTGCTATCCGCGTCTCGGCGCTTTTTATGTTACGTATACAGCGGCGCGCGGCGTGCACAAGAATAAAAAAACAACAAAGAAAAAGAGGCGACCGACCGGCTCTCAAAAGGAGAGAGAAAAAGAAAGGAATCTCTCCTCTCAGTCAGTGAAGTGAGTTCTCCACGTGAGGATCGCGCTGGACCGTGTTTTTTATAATCCGAGAGAAAAGTAGTGCGGTTTTGAAACTAAAAAATTCAAATTTGGAAAAGGGGAAGGATCGCTCAAGAATCAACACGTGTTAATTCTTGCGTTTCCCCTTTTTGGAGTGAGTGACCTTCCCCTCTGCCGAGCCGATAAATCTGAAGAAACCGGCCTGTAGCATCATCTTTTTCTTTCGCGGTGCAAAAGCAAAGTCTCAGTCGCTGGTTGTGTTTGGTGAGAAGATGTTGCACTCGCGGGTGTAGAGGAATTTCCAGCAAAAAAGTACAAGGAAAGAGGGATTATTATTCTGTGATTGTGTTTTTCGCCTTCGCTGCCAGCACCGCCGATGCATGAGATTATGGTGAGTAAACATTGTAGACATTACATCATAAAATTGACATAAAACAATTACAGAGCAAGAGCAGCACACTTTATTGTGTTAAAAGCAATATTGCATATTTTATGGTAGTTATAATTACATAATTAAAAAATCAAACATACTTTTACGGTTTGTTATTTGGCGATTAAAAATACCTAATAGCAAAATTTATGTTTGAGAACAAAATATCAAAGACCCGAATTCATTTATAATACATAAACAATCATTTAAAATAATATTTCCACTGAAATGACAGAACCTTTAAAAGAGAGAAATAATCCGAAATGCATAATTATGGTCAGTAGTCATGCAGTTAATTCTGCGCCACAAATTTGAATAATTACAGCTTAAAATAACATGTTTTACAGTTGCTCATTTTGCTAATATTCTCGTTGTATTTTTGCAAAAAATATCTTTATAACTTCTGCAAAAATGAAAGGAATTATATAAAAACAATATGCATTCTCATTTACGAACTCAATATTTTCATGCATAAACCTTGCAAAATTATTATTTTATTTTCGATATAGGAACTTAATTAAATCTTTTATTATTAAATCCGGCGTCTTTTAAATTCATCGAATCAATCGTTACGCTATCGTGGTTGGACCAGTTTATTTTTAATTGCGCAATACCTCTCCCGCTTTTCATTCTCACCGTCCAGCACATAAATTCGAATTGACATCACCGACAGAAACAGATTAGTACCAATTTATCATTCATCCCCAGGCCCAATTGGTTCGGCCTTGGCTGTCCCCTAAAGCTGTGACAAACTGGCCGCCTTCTCTATGAATCTATTATGCTCTAGTTCTTGATCTACCGCAACCGAAAAACGGAGGAAGAGGAAATAAAAAGGACCCTCGTGGCTTTTACGTCGCAATTATATCCACCAGCTTCGAAGCACCCCCATTTCCACCCCTTATAAGCCAGACTGTTGATGCGCCCTAGAGGTCAATTCCCACACGCACTCACTTCCTTTTCCTCACTTTGGAATTTTTAAGAGCTCCAAACCAAAACGGATTAACTTATGCGATGAACTGTAAAAATTTCTGTTTTAAATGAATGAATGAAGAAAAATAATGCGTTTTTAGCCAAGAACTTCTTATTCTTCAGCGAAAGAAGATTATATATTCAATTGTAATCATTCGTGATATTTTCAATTGAATTAAAAATATGAAAACATTTTTTATTTTAAATATTTTATGAAGAAGCAAAATTGATTTGTTTGTGGTGAACATAATTTTGTGTCATCAACATAATAATTAAAAAGTTCTAAAATATAAATTCAAAAATTTTAGGATCTTCATGGAATAATCTGGCATATTTTTTAGTGCATCTTCACTCTCTTTTCATTCGTGCGGTATGTTTTTTTTCTTGGCAAGGTTTTCAATTCTTCGTAACATTTATCCTCTTTAAGAACAAGCCTAGCTCATTTATCAAGCTTCACACTTCTCTCTTTCTCTGACGAGAAATTGAACAGACACGTCTCGGTCATGCGTTCAATTTTTGAGAGGCTATTTTTAAATTGCCACCATGCTTGCCGGGCTTTCATCGACTTGTGTAATAAACTGACGTGCGCAGGGCTCTCGGACGCAGACAGAAAGGGTGTTATTTATTTTGTTTTTATAATCAAATCATATTTTATATGTGGAGGGCCGACGCCTATACACATCCTGACGGCAACTGTTGGCGCACGCTTCGCTTCAATTTAAACAACATATGGGGGTGGAATTCAAATGTTTCTGTTCGTTTTTATTTATCAAAAATGCCAAAATTATTTTGATTATTGAATATAAATGCCATGATATTGCTTTGTTAAGTCATTTAGAGTCAAAATTTAAATTTTTTAATTTTTTAAAGCAGGAAATCAATTGATAAATTAAACTTTGTACATTGTTTGTAAAAGTGATGAAAATAAATTAAAATAATTGCAGAACCATGCTGTTTTCAAGGGGAATTTATTTTTAAATATAATGCTTCAGTTTTTATTTCCAAACCTTGCTTGACTTGCTTTGATATTTGTTAAAAATTTGAAATTGTAAAAGATTAAACATTATCATTAATTACAATGATCATTTTATCATCATTTTCGTTTGCTCTTGCTCATGTTTAAATTTACATAAGATAATAAACTTTCCATTTTTGAAATCATCAAGCAAAAAGTACATTTTAAAAATTCAGACTGCATAAAACACGAAAATAATATTAATTTTGTTTCGTAATTATTTAATTTTCCAAAGAACTCTCTGCATTTGAAGTAATTTTTCCATTTTAAATCTGATGGAAATTTTTATAAATATTTACAAACAAAGATCAAATGAATAATTCATAATATTCGTAAAATTCTTGATTTAAACTACAGAAATTACACATAAAAATTGAGGGTGCTTATATTATATAGTTTCGTAATGTATATTAATAGACCTGCCCTCAATACGAACACATACATATACGATTCTCGAACAATAAATACATCTTATCGCAGCAGCTCATCGCGTTCAACGTAGGCATAATAATAATAAAACCGAGCACTTTAAAGCCGCCTACTCCTCAAGCACCGGCGGGAAAATAATTTTACACAAACGTCATTCACTCTGAATCGCACAATAATTCTCCAATTCAAAAATCCCAAGCCCATAAATATAAACACAGCTAGAGCGAAATCGTTGCTAAACAAATTATAAAACGGCCCGTGTAGTATAATTTCATGCAAAGCCTTGAGGTCCAAATGTATAACCAACAACAACAGTTACTTTATATTGCTTTATTGTCTAGGGCCGGCAAAAAGATGAGCGCGGGTGAATGTTTTCACCGCAGTTGCTCATCTCGAGTTGCCCTTCCGAGCACGCAATGTCGCCGTTTTATTCAAATGAGCAGGTGAATGTGTGTTAAACGTACGAGCTTTAATTTTTTGCATTCAGTCGTGAGCTCAAAAGCCGGAGAGATTATCCCGCATGCCAGAGGTGAGACCGGTCTTTTGGCCGGCGCAGTTTTTATGTCCGAGATGAGGCTTCGGATGACAAAATCCAGTGATCCTGCCGAGGAGCAATGAATTTGACCTCACGTATGCTGAGGATGCTTTATTATAAGAAAGGAAATGAGGAGAAATATCATGAGACGAGCTGCATGGAAATCTGCTGGCTTTTAAAATACGAGAATGTAAAAATATGCGGCGTGTGTTTTAAGAAGTCCAAGAAATTAGCTCACGAAAACCTGTTGATTCATTTTTATTCCAATTTTATTCTGACACATAAATAGAAAGGAATATAAAATTGTAGAATTAAATTTTGCAGTGAAAATAAAATAACTAAAAGAGGACAACAGTGATAAATGACTATTCATTAAATATATTAAAATCTAAAGTACTTGTCTACTTGATTTGAAATTTTAAAAGCATTGAATTAAATATTAACAAATTAATAAAATAAATAATATAATAAATTATTTTAAAAATAAATACAAATCTTATATTTTTTTTTATTTAATGTAATATAAATATGTGTATTTTTTTAATAACTTAATTTTAATTATATAAATCATGGCTTATTTCATATAATTGCATTGAATCGATAAAGAAAAGCTTGAAGGTTTTGAAACTGACTTTGATTGAAAACCACTTTGATTAAATCGTAATTTTTAAGCATGGCAGGAGTGTTGCAAATTTATAATTAATTGCAATAACTGATCTGCTTATTGACTTAACTACCAAATAAAATTTTGCTTTCAATTAAAAAATAATCTTTAGTTGTTTTTCATGTGATATTTATTTTATTTTCTTATTTTTTACGTGTTAAATCACTGTTTTTTTTTTCATTAGTCTAAACAAAGCACAGATTAATCACAATGCAGGCAGCACTCCAAAACTCAACGGTTTTGTTTCTCGATTCCCCTGGCTGAGCAAATTAAGTCTGGCTTGGGCGCCGCTTCCGAGAAAAACATCTCGGCCTTAATGAGCAGTAGCGATGGCAGATTACATTTGCCGGCGCGGCGGCCTAAGTGCGTCCCTCTCTTTTCTTCTGATAAAACACGTCTCATTGTCTGGGCTGCTCGAGGTGTAACGTAAAATCCACAAACACACGACGACGACCGAGAGAGATCATGATCTGAAAAGTGATGTTGATTTCAGGTGTGTCTCGTCGGCACAGATGTTTTTGAATACTTTTCGCCTAATCATCGTCAGCGCAGGCACTTTTTCAGCTGCGAGAATAAGTTAGAGGGACACTCGGAGCACACGCTCTTCAGAGGAGGTTGACCTCTCGCGCTTGAGCAAATAAAACAATCCGTGTGAAATTTTTTACTGCCTGGAATTTCCATAAAATTCTCTATTTCTAAAAAGAAAAAATTAGCAGTTCCATTTATAAAATTCAAATTTATGGCCTGTAAAAAAGTAACAAAAAGCAGAAGAAATATTTGATTTCTTCTCAAACGATCGAGAATTTTTCGCTGCGGTCATTTTGTTATCTCTGCAAAAAGAGGTTGAACGGTTATAAGGTTTCGCATCACAGCTCGCAAAGCAATTTTAAACTTCCAACCGCATGTCATTCTTAAACGTTTCTGTCAGAAACAACGTATTTCAGAAAACGATTGATTGAAAAATGATAAACTTGTAGATTCATGTCTTTATTAAAAAATTAAAATGTTCAAATAATTAAAATTTTGAAACAAAATTTGTGATAGTCAAATCAAATTATTAAAAAAAAATCGTGATTTGCTATTTTAAATGCAAATTAACTTTAATGATGAACCACAGTGCACTCTCCTCCTATAACGAGATATATCACCCAAATAAAAAAAATTAAAAGCTAAACTGCAAGAATTATAATATACTCATAATATATTTTCTAATGATTATGCTTTTATATTTTCAAACTTAAAATAATAAATATAATTATTAAATATTAAAAATCTACTGATTTTGCTGTCATAATAAATTCAAATTTCTCTTCGTATAATCTCATATTATTTGTAATTGACATTCACTG